TGTGTGTGTGTGTGTGTGTGTGTGTGTGTGTGTGTGTGTGTGTGTGTGTGTGTGAGAGAGAGAGAGAGAGAGAGATAGAGAGAGAGAGAGAGAGAGAGAGAGAGAGATTTGCGACGTTGAGACATGGTGATATTGAGATTTAGACTGGTCATGGCGACATTGTGGCGGACTATTTTGGGATCAGTATCGACAAAATTTTGGGTTGGCGACATCTCTCCTTTCTACCCCCTCTTTGTCTCTCCTCCCTCATGTGATGATGATGATGATGATGTTGTTCAGTCTGTGTCACGACATTGATTGGGTCTGATTATTGGTATTTCAGTCTTCCGCTGTGCTATCTTTACTCCATTTGTGAGAGGTCGGTTCTTGGGTCTGGTCTGCGCCACTTGGCATGTGGCAATTCATCAGGGTTGAACTCATGATCTGTTTTTTTTCCCCTTTTCCTCAACAATTATATGTGTGTAGTACTGCGTACCGTTCAGCCACAGCGCAGGTACGATTGCAGTCAGATTTCATTCTTTGCCTTTTGTGGGTACGACTGAAGACACACCCAAGACTCGTTCTCCGCCGAGCTCCTATCAAGGAGCTTGTAGAACGAGTTACGGCTGGAGATGTAATGTCACGGCAAAGTAATGCCCGCGTGGACAACTTATAATTGGAAAATGCTGATCCGACTCACTCAAGTTCAAGATCAGTTGGTACACCCATGAACTGTTGGAGTGCAAATCCAAGTTCAAATCCAGATGCAATCAAATGTGCGGCATGAAATAATTCTGGATTACCTGCAGCCAGACAGTTCAGTGGTGTTGGTATCTCGAGGCCATGGCCCTTTGGAGAAAAAAAAATGATAATTGAATCCATACTGTGCAGATCATAACAGGGCGCCCATCCTCCTTCCACGTCAGCTATCAGATATCGAGGATGGCGCAGAACTTCCTCACCTTCATGGAGACAGCAGCAGATTACATGTGTGGTCACCAGGTAAGTCCAGGTAAGCTTCCCCACATCTCCCCTCTGTCTCACAGCCCTGATCCTCCTCCTCCTCCTCGCCGATACTCATCACCTAGTCTACATCTACGCGGCTATGGCCACGCCAACATAATCTCCCTCCAGTCTGGCGTCCACTTCCAGCATCTAGCTGCATGACGGGAAACTGTCACGTGTGGTTCTGAAGGCAGGCGTTCTGCACTGACCCCTATCCTACATCATGATATCTTTTTTTTCTTGATGGTGATTCTGATCTTCGTGTTATGGATGTTGGTTCGTGTTTTATGGCATTTTCACTATAAGAAAAACCCAATTCCAGAGAGAATTGTTCATGGAACCACTATAGAAATCATTTGGACTCCAGCAGCCTCGCAACACAACACTAGCATCAAGCCTGCGCAAGGCAGAATGATCTCCACGGTAGCCGGGTCACCTCTTTATAGTGCTGACTCACGTTGGCCAGTCTCCAGCCTCCTCGGGTCAACGGCCCAGATTATCTGAAAGTCAATGGCCTGGATGCAGTGCTGTCCCTTGCTTTCCTTCTGTCCTGCTGGTACTGGAATCTTCTGAATACCTGCAGACAACCAATGATGTGTATCTGATCGACGACCGTGGCTGACCAGCAGGCTGACTTTGGCTTTGAGCCTGCCTCGCCCGTGCTTGGTCTGACATTTGATTTTCCCAGAGTCAGCTACCACATGTGGGGCCTCTGGATGCTGTTTTCGACCCTGCCCTGGGTACCCCTTGACCTTTTTTTTTTTTTTTTTTTTTTTTTTTTTTTTT